GGGGGGGAGAGTGGCATTCATGCCATGGCCGGGCTGTTTGACTCAGGCGAGGTGGAGTGTGTGCTGCTGGTGGATGCAACGAACGCCTTCAACTCCACCAGCCGTCCCGCCGCCCTGTGGAACGCGTGTGTCCTGTGGCCGCGCTGCTCCCGCTTCCTGTTCAACACCTACCGCGGTCATGCGGCCCTCTACATGAGCGGCCAGTCCGCCCCGCTGTGAAGCCAAGAGGGGACGACACAGGGCGACCCCCTGGCCATGCCCTTCTATGCGGTGGCCAACCTGCCTCTCAGCCGGCAGCTCAAGCGCCCGGCAAGCGAGGGTCCGCAGGCATGGTACGCCAACGACTCGGCCAAGGGGGGCAACTTCCGGCCGGTGCGCGAATAGTGGGACGACGTGAACGAAAAGGGGCCGCCAAAAGGCTACCACCCGAACGGCAAGAAGAGCAAGCTAGTGGTGCGGCCGGGGGATGAGGAGCGGGCGCGGGAGGTGTTTGGTGATACTGATGTGGAGATCGTGAACGATGCCCGCTACATGGGGGGCTATGTGGGCACGCGGGAGGGCAAGAGGGCCTACGTCACCAAGAGGGTGCGAGAGTGAGTGGAGTCTGTCCATCGCATGGCCGAGGCGGCTGCCAAGTGCCCTCAAGCCACCCACACGGCGCTCATGACATCCCTCCAGGCCGAGTGGGACTTCCTGATGCGCGTGATTCCTGAGGAGCCGGCGACATTCGAGCCACTGCGCGACGCCCTGACCCACTACCTCTTCCAGCTTGGTGACCACGCCGTGACGCCCATCGAGGCCAAACTCATGATGCTGCCTGCACGGCATGGAGGGATGGAGGTGCGTGACCCAATGCAGCGAGTGGCAGCGGCCTACGAGACATCCACCAAGGGCACCTCCCTATTGGTGTCCACCATCCAAGACGGCGACCCACTCGACGGCCCCCCTTTCAACCCCTTCCAGCATCGCGCTGTTATGCAGCAGGCCGTCAGCGAGGGGAAGCAGGCTGGTGACGAGGCCGCGAGGGAGCGCTTCGACGACACGCTGCAGGAGCTGCACCCTGAGCGTCGGCAAGTGGTCCATCGGGCGGTGGAGGCCAAGACGGCGGGCTGGGTGACGTATCGGCCTAACGCGAAGGACCACACTGACCTGACCCCAGCTGAGTACCGCGACGACAGCCCTCCGCTACGCGTACGAGCCTCCCGAGATGGACACGCACTGTGACGGCTGTGATGCCCCTTACTCGCTTGACCACGCCCTCAACTGCAAGAGGGGAAGCTTGGTGATTCGGCGGCACAACGAGGTGTTGGACGTCCTGGGCGACCTGTCCGCCCAAACGTGGGGGCCGTCGGCAGTCAAGAAGGAGGTGGTGCTTGTGGAGGGGGAGAGGAAGGTGGGTGAGGGGAAGGGGGAGGAGAAGGAGACGGGAGGGGAGGGGAGGGGGAAGACGAAGGAAAGACTGAGGAGGGTGAGGAGGAGGTGGTGAAGAAGGTGAGTGGCCGGGCGCAGAAGAAGGGGGTGCGGGTCGACATGGTGGTGAGAGGTGTGTGGGAGCGGCAGAAGGACGCGTCGTTCGACCTGTGCGTGACAAACGCTGACGGGCCCTCCTACCGCAAACACAACCAATCTACCGCCTCCGTCCTCGGCACAGCTGCCAAGAACAAGAAAAACAAGTACCTCCGCGCCTGTGAGGACCGGTACATCCACTTCACCCCTCTGTGTGTCACGGTGGATGGGGTGTAGGGGAGAGAGGCCAATGCCTTTTTCGGTCGGCTGATTGAGAAGTTGCGTGAGAAGGCTGCATGGCGTGACAAGTCGTTTGGCCAAGTCATGGGGTGGGTGCGTGCTCGTCTGTCTGTTGCGTTGGCGCGTAGTGCTAGCCTGTGTGTGCGTGGTGGTCGGCGCCGCTGGAATATTCTGGCGTGCGCTGAAGATGGGGCTGGCATGTTTGTTGCCAAGTGAATGATGGCTGATGAATTGAAATGAATCATGCGTGACAGACTGTCGGACTCTGCCTGCCGTTGCGCTATGCGTTAACCGCCTTCTCTAATGAATATGACATTTCAATGGGAGGCCTTTATCTTCTTAAAGCCCATCAGACATCCAGTCCTGTCACCACCAGCTCAAGTCGATTTGATGGCTCCCTCGCTTCCACATACTGCGTTTCACACAGACCTGATGCAACGCTGAGCAGTTCATATAATTCATAGGGAGAACCCAAGAACTCCTGCATACTACCAGGCCATTTCATGCAAATTGACAGATACTCGACCTCAATGAGATCTTTCGGTAAACGAGGGGAGAGGAGTGTTCGTCTTGAGTCTCGTACAGGAGAAACCAGCAGCAGATGCAGACTCACAAACATTGTACGACTGGCAAAGCAATCATACAATGAAAACACACACAAGTCACAGTGCATGCAATTGTATGATTGCGGAAAGGCCGGTGAGGACCTTGCCGAGTATCAGTCGAATAACCGTAGGATCAGCTGGGCGGTAAGTTCCAAAGCCAGAGTGCTTTCACTTCAGTGAGACGAACAAGTCACACACTGGTGATGTCCATAAGATGCATCACCAGGCAACATGAACACAGATATGCAATCCGTGACATGTGAAAAGATCACTCTGCACTGTCATCACTCATGTAGACGTCGATGACAGCGATGACGACGAAACGACCAGCAGCCGCAATCTCAAAGTAGAGGTACGCCCATGCACACACATGCGCTGATCCACATGTATGGATGTGTACGGATGTATGTGTGTGCAGTTGTCGCCATGTTTCGACTTCCCCAGTTGGATGCTCTGTATTATGAACGTGTAGTTTCTTTTGCGCAGCCTGCGAATTCCTGTAGCTGGATACTGTGTCTAAATGGTGACTTGCTTTAGGATTGTGTTCTGGATGAAGGATAGACAGCGATCCATGCGATGTGAGGTGGTCCTGCGCTATGTTGCCTGTGGTGAGGTCCCGCACCCTGACCGAGAGCAGTGGCATACGACACCGAGATGGATCAAGATGAGAGACACAAGCATGAGAAAGGCTGCCACAAATCCGAATTCTTGTTGTCCGCTGCGGCTTCATTACGCATTCTTGTTGTCCGCTGCCACTTCATTACGACCAGTCCGTGACGTCCCCCTCTTGAAGGCGCACTTTCCCTCTGATTTTCCCGGCTGCGTTCTTGGATGTGCCCAGGTCATTTGGCCGGCAAAACAGAACGGATATACGCCACCTCTTGGAGCCACTGCTCTGAGCTCAGTGGGAGAAGGAAAACAAATCGAGATAGAAGAGGGCACCCTGAAAGACGATCGTGGTATTGAGGCGGCGTTACATCCCGCCGCCTCTCCTCTCATCTGTATTTCTCGTTGGCCCGAAGATGGAGAGTGTGGAATATGTGCCGAAGGGCTACGGGACAAGCGCACTTCGTGGCTGTATAACCAAAACTGTGCGGGAAGGTGATGGAGAAGATACTGGCGACAAGAACCAGAATGCTACCTGTTCATGCATGTACTTGCACGTGGACGTTATGCAAGAAAGGGATCTGCCCGCACAAGATGGGAAACGGGTCGGGTCTGTTGACCCTACATAAGAAGTCTGTGTGAAGGACAAGGTAGGTACTTAGTGAAGAACAAGGTAAGTAGTGCGCAATTCGCCTTGACTCTTGCCGTCATCGGATGCTAAAGCCTCTGTGGCATGCTTTGTCAGTATGTGCACCCCGCACATGAACTAATCAAGTTTTCGAGGGTAAACACATAGAACGGGCGACGAAGTTCGTCTAAGTTTCAGATACTAGCGTTCGTACCAAGCAAGCAAAAGGGAACACAACCATGCAAAGCAAATGAACAACGCTCATTGACTGCAAACAAATGCATGTCGCACACCGCACAGACACAAACAAGCGTGAGACATGCACCACGATACACATACACACAGCAACCAGATCCAGCCAGCCACCTCACAGCCCCGGAGCGGGGCTGGTGTGTGGCCTATACGGCCCGCGGCTGACGAAGTCCTCGGGAAACGCGCTGGCCCTCCGTGGCCCTCTGGCGGCCGCAGCGCGTTGTGCACGACTCGCCACTTGGAACGCGTTGTGCTTCAGCAGCTCGACGGACAGGAGCTGGCTCCAATGGTTGACGACGCTCTCTCGGAAAGCTGCGTCCTCATCGGTGGGAACAACACCACAGAACGCGTGGCAGACAAGCGACACAGACACGCAGAGAACAGACAAATGAAAAGAAAATTCGCATCCACAAGGCAGCTAAACGACGCAGATACACACCGAGCAAACACACAAACAAACAACACACTGCATATACGTCAACTTCTTCTCGGACAGCAGTTGCCCGGCTCTATCGTCATCGCTCGGCACACGAGCCTCGCTGAGCCCCCCGTTGACGTTGTCTATGAAGGCACCCACAAAGTCATTCGAAAAATCCTCTTGCAGCCTGGCAAGGACAGGGTAGAGGCCCAACCAGAAGAAGAAGGGGCCTGCCGCGTCACCTGCTGAGTGCCCTCGTGACTTAGGATGGACTCGATGCGGCCATCCTCCATTCCATACCACAGCTCGGCCGGGGTGCCGCAGAACTGCCAAAAGAAGTCCACGAGGGAGGGCCACTTTACGCTGAGCTCGTTGAGGATCGCCTGGCTGTCGAAAATGGTGTTGAATGCATTCTTTGGTCCAGCGTCACGAGCAGCTGGTGTTCCGCAGCGTCTCTCTGTGTCTCGATGAAGGCCTGGGCAGCTCGAAACATTTCTCTCCACCAGCTGAGGTCCCTACTACAAACTTGACGTGTCCAAGCAGAACCGCATCGGAATCAGCTACAGAAAAAACTGCTGGGGCAAGAAATCCCCCTCAAACGCGAGTGTGTTGTCTATGCAAATGGTCTTCGTCACCCAGCGGCAAACGACGTTGCCAACAGCGATCGGTCGGACCCCCCCACTGTTCTTCTCCAGAGCGAAGAGACAGGCGGTGGCGATGATCTTTGGTAGGAATGAAAAAAGACTCCAGGACCCCTCTTGCTTCGGTTCTCATGTATTGAAACCTGGTTGGCAAGTAAAGATAGTATCAGGCTGCCTGCCCTCACTTCCAACACGGGAGAAAGAGGCTGACGTCAGAGGGAGGACAATGTATTCGCAGAGGGATGACCATCCTCCGAGGATATGAGGGGTTGCGAGTTTACTTGATTAGTTCGAGGCCGCAGGTCCGGCTGCAGCAGCGCCTGACCGATCAACTGCACAAATTCCGCTTCAACGAGCTCTTCAACTCCCTCCCGCCCGACGGCAGAGCCCGCGCCCGTCTCTTGGGCTGCCAAGGGCCTCTCTCGTCTGGTTGGCTGTCCGCGATCCCTTCCAGTGACAACAAGGCGCTGAACAACTTCCAGTATCGCCACGCCGTCGCCGAGTGTCTCGGCGTTAGCCTCCCGCACGCAACCGTCTCGCAGCGATGCATCTGCGGCGGGGAGGTTGACAAGTTTGACCTCGACAGGAAGACGTCCCACTTGATGACCTGGCAGCACGTCACCCCGACGCTCTCAGAGTGCCGCATGACGTCACCGAGGACGCGGAGACCAAGATCGTTGGTGATGCCGCGCATTCCCGCCTTGTCGAGGTGCTGCTTGAGCTCGACCGCCATGCCCTGCTGGATCCACGGGCCCCACTGAATGCTCTGCGCAGCGAGCTTCTTGGACCGCCGGTACTCGGTGAGGGCGTCCAGGCATGAGTTGGCCGCCGAGTAGTTGGCCTGACCAAAGTTGCCGAGTAGCGAGGCGGAAAAAGAGAACATCATGAAGTGGCCGAGAGGGATCTCCTTGTCAAGCGACAGCTCGTGGAGGTACCACGCACCCATGACCTGCCCACACAGACACACACACGAGGCGGAAGCGATTGATGGGTAACAATCAAGCAGCCAGTCATCCACTCAGTCAGGGGACACCCAACCGGAAGAATGAATGCACCATTCCCTCACAGTCATGATTGTGTTGAAGCAGTCACACATATATGATGTTCATGGTTGAAACTCGAGCAGCTTCTGGTCATCCTAGTATGATTACGATCAATCTTTCCTTTACGATTTAAACAACCACTTTATGATTTAAATGAGTCTTAGGCACCAACTCCTCGTATCTGGCAGATGTGGTGAAGCATCTTCTTGAATAATGGTAATGTCTGGTGACCCATCAGCCAGGCTCCCTCCCCTCACATCTCAAAACACACCCTTCGCTTCACAAGATGCACATCCATTGTCACTGGACATGTCCTTGCCAACGGTGATAAGAGTGAATAATCATCAGTGCCATGCATAGGCGTACACAGAGAAAACGCCCATGAGGAAACGCTGTGACATTGATAGCGAGAGCGGCATCGAAAAAGAAGTACACACATGAATCATCGTTCTCTCTCCCTTACCATAAACAGTCCTCTCTCCCTTGCCACAAACAGTCATGGAGGCCGATGTATCTATGAATATGTTCTTTCTCCTTGAATCTGCCTCCCTTTCTTGCAGATCAGCCTCTCCTGCAGGACTTTGCGCGGCTCATGCATACCATCAATCCAAAAATCACTGATTTCACGCCCAAAAGTCCAACCATGCATCGAAAAATATCTTAAGCTTACTGAATGACGCAAGAACCGAGCAAGTGCATCTTCTGTCGACTACAAAGCATCAAAAACACCAACACTCACAATCATAAGGGCCAATAGTAATGGCAGAAGTACTGTGGATGTAGAGCTTCTTCAACAGAGACCATTATTTCCATCCCCTTTGTCTCCCGCATAAAATCCTGCATTGCATTCACACAGTACGAGCACGTCCGTAGACATGACGCGCAGGGGGGAAATATGATGCATATCACAGCTACACGGTAGTTTGCTGTCGGCTATCCGCCTTATGTTTGCCACGAATGGAAAAGAACCGCTGATCTCATGCCGAGACACGTTGGAAAACACCGAACCTTATGTTTGCCACGAATGGAAAAGAACCGCTGATCTCATGCCGAGACACGTTGGAAAACACCGAAACACCGACTTGACTACAAAGTATCCGAAAAAATACACCGGCTGTCACGGGGGTCAGTCTGGCAGGAAGGGCAAAGCTCACTCGACATTGCTTCTTCATCTCTTTACCCCTTTACCCTTGACCACACACCTGAAGGGACTACAAAAGCCGTACTCACTTATAACTCACACCTTGTTATAACTTCTACCTCACTTCCATGCATTCCTCGACGCAGCCATGCACGATGAGAGAGCAAGGGTTTTGAGGGATGAAACAAATGCAACGTGTGCAAGCGCCCAGTGTTGATGAAGCAATCGACGCTCCATCGACTAACAAACAGCAGATATAAGCAATCTGCCCCTTGGCACTTGGAAGAACAGTATATGCACTGAGATATGACGAGGTCACACGAGACACGAAGGCCCAAAGAAAAATACTGAGATGGGAAGGACGGTGGGCCGGTTGTGAAGGAAGGTCCCTCACTCATTTGGACACTGCCGCTTCCCTGGGCATGGCCATCCAGATCTGTGGCATACCCCCTTTGATGTGCACATGGAATCCCCCAGACACCCCATGAGGCATCTCCCTGCACGCCCC